GACAAATTAATTAACTCCCCCAGACTTCAACTTCTTCATCTGTAACATGGGGATAATAATAGTGAGTACTTCTAAGGGTTGTTTTTAGTAGTAAATAAACTAAAATATGGAAAGTATTTGTACACTGCCTGGCATGCTGTAAAAATAAATGATTGTATTCTTATTATTCTTATAGTCTCATTTTCATGCATTATTTGCTTAATAAATATTTATTGGGTACCTATGATGTGTTAGGCACTGTGCTAAGTGCATAAAGATTTATCATTGGGCTTGTTTTTTGTTGGGGGGGGGAATTAGAGGAAAAATAAAAACAAGCTAACAGTTAAATAAGTAAAATAATTAAAAATTGTGTTATCAAAGAAATAAAGGGTTGAGCTTGTGGTTCTCAATCAGAGGTGTTCCCCATCCCCCATTTCTAACCACCTCCTTCCCAGGGGACATCTGGCAATGTCTGGAGACATCTATATTTGTCACAACTTAGGGGAAAGGTGATACTGGCACATATTGGTTAACGGACTCCAATGCTGCTAAACACCTACAGTGCACAGGACAATCCCCACACAAAGAATTACCCAGCCCCAAATGATAATAGGGCTGTGGTTGAGAACCCGTGAGTTAGATGATGGCAGTGGGGGTGTCTAATTTAGGTCAGGTGGTCAGGGAAGACTGCCCTAAGAAGGTGACATTTAGGCCAAGCCTTGACTGGTGAGACACTGCCATACACAACAAGTGGTGAAAGAACACCCCAGACTGAGGGGACTTGGAAACAACACATAACAATGGGAAATGTATCTATTGTGTGTAGTGTGCAAAGGCCCATATGGAGAACGGAAGCAGGCAATTTTGAATGCCCACTTATTTGAATTGTTTGAATTTTTGAATTGTTTGAATCTTTCTTGTTTGAATTTTTGAGAACAGTCATTTTTTTGTAATTAAAAAATGAAGAGAAAAGAAAAAAAGCAAAACAGGTGAGAAGAGAACCTCTTGTAAAACCAGAAGTAGATTTCAGAGAGCAACCCTCACAGTGGTCAGGAGGCCCTGGTGTCCCTGGTGTCATAATCTGAAGTTAAACTCCACCCCTCTGACCTTCCAGAAAGACAGGACTTCCTAGAGACCACTTGATTCAGAACCAGACAATGCATGTTCAGTATCTGGTTTTATGCTTATATTTCCTGTTATATTTGGATGCGTTAGCTAAGTTATCTCGACTTTGAGAAATAAAGAACTTACACGACTAGTTTGGGTATTAAGTGAGATCATTAAATAAGTGTTCCATAATTGTACAGCACGATGCAGATACGAGGTGTTGAGACTAAAGAGCGGAAAGGCAGTGCTCAACAAATTATCTTTTCGTTGTGTCCTCTGTATTCCAAAACCCATCTAGATAAAGAGAAGTGACTTGGCTACAGAGGAGAAAGAAGGGCCGGGAGGGGAAGTGCTAAGGCTAGGGGAAGAGTGATTAAAAATCAATAGTAGCACCAGTTACATTATTCATAGAACGAAGAGGAGGAGAAATATCACAATGGTTGATGAAATCACCACAAGATGGCCATAGCCCAGCTCCAGGCCCTTGAAAAGACAGTGGTCACCTCCTCCTTAAGCAGCCCAAGACCCTCTGACCTGAGATGTGAGGAGATGATTGTGGAGATGATTATAGACCTTTTGTTCAGTGTTTAGAGCCCAGCAGTCTACATATTTCATAAAAATACCAGAAACTAGGAGCAAAAAGTGTTCAATGACTGTGCGAGTCAACATTCCTTGACCTAGGACACAGAACCTGATGGAAATCAGGCTTAATCAATTGTTGAGCAGATGAACAAAACAAATACATTCTCCAATCACTTGACGGACCTGGTGTCAAAAAACAACAATAATAATTGCATTTATTGGTACACTTTTCTTATTTGCCTTTCCAAGTTTCTATTTGAGTTTTTGCCTTTGAAGAGTTTGCAGGCAGTGAAAAGTAACTTAACCTTATAACAACTCCCTTTCTCTGCCTGGCCTTGAGGCAGCTGCAGAAGATAAGGCACCAAATGGAACTCTGTGTGCCTGGAGAGAAAAAAATAATGGCGAAAAACCTTTATCAGCAGCCTCCGAAAGCACCGAGCAACGCCTCAATTTCACTCAGGCAATCTCCCAATTCAGTTAACATTCATAGGAATTCAGCAAATAATACGTAGCAAATGTGAATCCATACACATTTTTTTAGCACTGGAAAGAATCTTAAAAGTCACTGATTCCGTTTTATTGAGAGGCCCTGAGACATTAAGGGACTGACAGAGCCAGAACTGAAACTCGTTTTTCCACCTTGAGATAAGCGAATAAACAAAAAACATCTTAAGCAATCGCTGGTATTTGAAGCCCACTTTTTTGGGGTTGTTTTCCTTTGTTATGTTGCGCAGACCCCAGGCACCTTCTTCCCAGAATGCACCAACAATCCAAAGCGCCAAACAAGTTTGGGACCAGCTTTGTGGATAGGGCGGGGTCGGGGGGCATCTACCGGGGTGAAGGGGGTGTGGGGGGAGGGGTTATAAAGCTTTGGCCACACCACAGAATTGTATGGGTGTTCCTCTCTGGAGCATCTCGCCAGCTTTAGCAACTGCTTCGATATGATTTGCACGAGCAAAAGGTGTGCATTGGCTGGATCAAGCCGGACTTCTAGCCAAGGTGAGTTTAAATCGCCATTTTTTCCTGCCCCCTAATTTGAAAGAAGCTTTTAATTCTTTCTGCCCCTCCCCCCTGTAAAGTTTGTTTTCAAGCTATAAACCCGCTCCAACTCTGTTTCCATCTCGGTTGCCTGAGAGCTGCAGTCATTAGCCAAATTCACTTGGACGAGAAAAAAGCTACCTTTGTGTACATAATGAGAGCCACCGCGTGGCCAAGGATATAGCCACGGAGAAGGAGGAAACATTTTAGTCTCGAGCTGCCGAAAGCGGGCGGGGGGAGGGTTAAACCGACCCAAGGGGTGTTTTGTGGAGTGGCTTCGAAAGCGGCCGAGGCTGCCGAAGCCGCTTTCGAAGTTAGCAAACAAAGCGTCTCCCCAGTAACCGCCCGGCTCCCGACGAGGCTCCTGCCACTCCGGCCGCGGAGTCGCGGCGTGGGCCGGCCCCCGGCTCCTCCTCCCTGCGTCTCTCCTCCCTCCTCTCCCGGTTCCCCAGCGGATATGAGCCACCAATCCCTGCAACAAACAACCCTTCAAACGAGCTAACGAGGCGGCCCTCTAACGGGCGGCGGGGGCGCCGGCCCCCTCCCCGCGCCGCATCTGTCCCGCACTCGGGCGAAGCAGCTGATTCGTCTGCAGCCAGCCCGGGAAGGAACTGCGCTCGGGGCAGCTGCAGGGCAGCGTCCGGACTGCGGGTTTCTCCCCAGGACCGTGTTTCCCCCCGTGCTCTTTTAGATATGTGTTCTCTTGTGTGCCGAGCAGTCAGCAAACCACAGAAGAAAAATACCCTAAGGTTGCTGCCTTCCCAGAAGGATGCTTTTTTCCCTTGTTGATTTTAAGTCCTGTAACTGGAAAAGCCACCCGAGCTTTTTAAACTCTGGCCTCAACGCACTCTCGTGGCGGGGGTGTCTTTTAAGGGGGGAGGAATTGGAAGGGTGGCAGGCTGGCTTTAGTTTTCAACGTAATCCTAAAAACAGAGGCTCCAAAGTGTCGTTAGTCATCCTTTGGCTGCCTTGGTCCTCCTCGGGTTTAACCTTCCACGGAACGTCGCCTGCCGGGATCTCCGTGGAGGTTACAGAGCAAAACAGCGCCGAGCCCAGCTGGAGGCAGACCCGGGCGCTGACGTCTCTACTAGGCTTATTTACGTTTGGGGTTTTTCTTTCTTTCTTTTTTTTTAAGTGACGGGGAAAGTCTTACTGCGGCATGTGACAGTTCCGTTTGCTTCAAAACAACGGTACATACCCACGCGAAAACTAGACCCAAGGGAGGGGGCGTGCGTTTGTTGAAATCCGCCAAACAGCCTCTGGTCTTTTAAAGGGGCGATTTCATCAAGGAACTTTTGTTAGATTCGTCCTAACTCGCAACCAAAGTAAATCAACAGGAACACGTGTTTACTTCATGGTTAGTTTCTGTTTGATATACCAGAGGGTACGAGGGCTCCTTTGGCGGGGTTCAAGTTCTAAAAGTAGACCCTGATTACCGAAACAGATGAGTAGTCACGGCGTGGTCGCCCCTTTCCTATAAAAGCGGCGGCTACGGGGGTCCGGGGATCGGGGTGTCGGGCCGAGTCGCAGCCAGGCGGGCGCGCGCCCCGGCTGTCCCCAGGCAGAGACGTTTAAAGAGCATGTGAGCATGACAAGTGTCTGTCCGCAACGTGTCAGATTTCGAAACTGCCTTGCAATCCAGTCCGGAACTCGCAGCTTCAGCCCGGGGGAACAGACTGCGGAGTCGGTGTCTCATCCCTCCCTGCCCCCCCTCCGTTGCCGTGGGAGGAAGAGCCCGGGAGGAGAAGGGTGCGACCCGTCGCGCCCGCGAGTCAATGGCAGCCGCGCATTCTGGAAGAAGTTGGTTCTTGTCCCGAATACTTTTCCTCTCGCGCCCCGCCCCTTGAATCAGAAGCGGCTGTCTTCTGCGGCTACAGCGGGGCCCATGGAGTTTGGGGCAGCTGTCAAACACGAGACGGGAGACTTTTCTTCCGTGGGGTGGAGGAGGGAAGGAGGGGCGTCCTTTTTCCCATCTGTTGCAATTTCCTAACCAAACGGACCCTCGCCAGCCCCGAGAAGAAAGGCCCGAAGGAGAAACCCGGGGCGCTCGGCTAGTGTCTCCACCGCCGCCGGGCGAGGGATGCGGGCGGCGCGCTCGCGGCAGGCAGGAAGGATCGCGTTTCTGGGCCCGGCCGCCCCCGTGAGGGACGGGTGACAGCAGCAGCCGGGCTCGGTCCAGTTCTCCCGGGCTGGAAGGTGCGGGGGAGGGGCGGAGGAGCGGCGGGGCGGGAGGGGGACGGGCAGGCGGCTGGGGGCGGAGGCAGGACCTCCTGTACCTTCCCTCCCCGCCTCTCTCACTCTGACAGCGCGGAGGTGCGCCGAGCAGGAGCGGGGAACAAAGGAGCGGAGAGGGGAGGGGAGCGAGTTGGGCGAGGGAGAGCCCCCGGCCGGCTGCCAGAAGATCCCGGCAGGAGGAAGCCCGAGTGTCACTTGAATTCCACCCAAGGAGCGGGCGCCTGGGATCCGAGCGCCTTGTTTAGCAATAACGGCTGGAGCACGTCCTACAAGTTACGGGAGAGTCGGCCGTGAAGGAGGCGATCGCTTGTCCCCTCGTGCCCCCGCTCCTGGCCCCTTGAGACCCCAGCACTGCCTCGCGCTGGGAGGGGAGTTCCAGAATGAAAAGCAAGAAAGGTAAGGCGGCCGCGGGCGGTGCGCACCGGGGGACGCCAGTCCGGGGAAACGTGCTGACCGAGCCGCGCGGGGCTCCGGGCGAGAGTGACTTGTGCGCTTTTCCGCCCAGGGGCTCTTTGGCTGGAGCCGTGGCCGTTCTCTTTGTTGAGACTGCGTCTGAAATGGCAGTGGCTCTTTTCCTTCTAGACACAACATGAGGGGCTGTTGTGGGGAGGCAAGGCTCCACGCTGCTGGCACGTTGTCAAGAAACACGCTCAGCGCCTTGTTTGTGCGCCTCCAAGTTTCATTGTCTCCGCCGACACCCCACGCTCTGCCCAGCCGCCGCGTGGCTTCTCGCTCTTTCCCGAGGGCGGGGGCGTGGGGTCCGGGTCGGGGAACCCCGCGCCTTGCTTTTCCGGGCAGGGACCCCGGGCGATCGGGGCAGCCGGGCCGCCGCGCCTTTGTCTGAAAGTTCGGCTCCGGGGCTCCCAGCTCCCAGCCCGGCCCGGGCACGCTACTTCGGGGATGCGGTGCTTTCACAGTCGAAGGAATGTGATTGACCCCCACATCGCCCTCGGGTGTAAATACCTTTGGAAAGCTAGACTTTAAAAAAGTAAATTCTCAGTCTCTAATAAAAGTTTTCCCAGGATGAATTTGGGCCAAGATGAAGAGTTAGGACACAGGACTAACAGCATCAAGCGGCATGTACTTCAAATGTGTCCAAATGTGACAAGCAGGCTTGGTTGTAGGAGCAAAGAGCCAGGCTGTCATTGTTTCTACAAAGCGTCCTGGAAGCTTTACCACTAAAACTTGCCGTCAGTCTGGTTTAAAAACAAAATAACACGGGGGGGAAAAACCCACACACAACACCCTGAAAGGTCAAAGAATGTGAAGTCCCTTTAGAAGTTAACTTTTGAGTCCCTGACTGTGAGGTCCCCCGAATGTTCCGTCGTGGGCTGGAGTTGGCTTTTCTGTTGTGATTTATGTGGAGTGGTTCAAAACAGAAGTTAATCGCTCGGGGAAGCAAGGGGCGGTGCGACTGCGCATGCCCGGGAGCGTCCCGGAGTTTGTAACTCCGCATTCTTTCAGAGCCGCGGGCCGGCGCTCTGCCGGATGGGTGCTCGCGTGGGGTCGCCGCGCGCGCCCCGGGTTCCCCCCGCTGCTTTCTACGTTCCGTGTGACTCCGTGGGAGGCTCTGAGACGCGCGGAGCTTCTCTCCCCCCCGCTCCCAGGCTTTCCCAGCGAGAGTGGAATTAAACGTGAAAACCCGGGTCACTTGGTTAGGCAGTGGAACTCCCTACACGCCCCTCCCCATGGGACCTGTAACTTGGGTCTGGGACAACATGCGCGGGGAGCGTCCGGGGCGCCTCTTGAAAGCCGTGTGGACCTCGGAAGGACTGACAGGTCTACCCCTTCACAGGAAGGCGTCCTCTCTGGTCTGGTGGGGCTCACAGGCTTAAGTGGGGGGTTCTGTTTGTGAAGAGCAGTTCTGGTGCGCTAAGGCACAGCCGGGCTTCCGCCGAGGGGTGGGCTTCCCCCATTGTTCGGGCCTTGGCGGGGGCGGCTCTGATTAACCTCCCCGGCCCGCCCCTCGCCTCGGGTACCCCCGGCGCCCCTCCCCCTCTACTTTCCTGGGGTCCCCCAACGTACTGCGGCACTTTCGGGTCCCTGCCCCCCAGCGCCCCTGACCCTCCCTAGCGCCCCCGCCCACGTCCCGGGTCCCCCCGTCACCCCTCCCCAGTCCCCCATCCGTCCCAACCCCCGGCCCCCAGCCGAGGACCGAGGCTGCGACCCGCGGGCCGCGTTGTATCGGTGGGAACCTCCGTGGTTCCCAGGCCTGGGCGCGCAGGGTCCTGCCACTCAGCGCCGACTCATGGAACAATGAAAGGTGACGTGTTGGAGGGGAAACTTTGCGACTGGTTCAAAGCTCGCGTGGGGGAAGCTGAGACTGCTGAGGTTACCCGGGTTTCTTTCCCTTTTTAGGTTTCCCTGGCGAGTCGTCCGGGGGCGGGCAGGCCCCAGAGAATGTGGCATTCCGGGCCTCGTAGCTCGTTTCTTCCTGTGTCCGGAGTGCGGAGGGCCTGCGGCCGTGCCCACTCGTGCGGTGCGCGGGCCGGTCTCAGCCGGGCTGGGGAAGTCACAAGAACAAAAGCTACTTGCTTTCCTCCTCGAGCTCCTCCCTCTCCCCGCGTCCTCCTCCCCCTGGTCTAAAACTACCTGGGAGGGGGAGAGCTTTTCCAGTCGGCTCTGGAAGTACTCAAGGAGTCGGTCCCGCCTATTGTCTGTCTTATAAAAGTCTGTGAAAAATCTTTCCAAGTTTCCTTAAAACAGCGGCACTTTCAACTCTATTACACGGCCCGGGCTTTGGTGAGACTGGTTTGTGAGCATCGTGTGTCCTCTTAAAAAGCTGAGCATGCCAAAGATCGCCTAAAGTGGCTTAAAATCAGAAAGAAGATTCGATGGGGAACTCCCCTAAGTCTTTCTGCGCCCAATTTCCGGTTCTTGCACGGGCCACCAAGGGCACCTTAGATTAGTGACTTGGGTGTTAAGTTCGATTCCTGTTGCCTCTCCTGGGGAGATTCTCTAATCAGAAAGCTGGTTAGGTAAGGTTTGCTTTTTCTTAATTGTGTACTTAGTTTTGCTTCGATCTTATTTCTAGATTCTTTTCTAGTCTCTTCTAGATTTTTAAAATCCAGCTCCACAACCGCTCACTCTCTGTCCCCTCCTCCCCCACTTGATGTTACAGAGCTATTCAGAAAACAAAGTGCAGAAGCAAGATTGCTCCTTAGTGCTGTGGGATCCTCGGGCCATCTTGTGGCTTTCTAAACAGCATTTCCTTGTGTGCGGATAGAGTAAAAGAAGCTTGTGATCTGACCCCCACCCTCCCTCCACCACATTTTTAAAGTGTAAGCGAAGCAAGACGTTTGGAAACAAGTCTTAACCGGGAGACTTTTCAAAAGCTCTGTTACAATAGGAAATGAGTAACGAGGAAAAAAGTCTTTCTGTTTTTCTAAATTGAGCCACAGTCAGGAGGGAGAGTTTTAATGAAAACAGTCCTGACAGCAGCAAACGTGGTTTTACTGCAGTGAAATATCAGCTGGCGTAGCCTAGGAACTGAAGTCTTAACTTCCTGTTACTTCAGCTTTTGTGCACATATTGGAAATATTTGTTAAGAGGCCTGGCATTCATGTATTTAAATGAACTGAGAACAGAGTGAAGTCGCGCTGCAGTTTGGTGTTGCTTAACTGAAACCTGCTTTTGTGTGTCACTAACCTATTCTGAAAGATCAAGCTTCTTGTCAGACTAGGCAAGCAGATCAAAGGGCAGGCTTTAGGGGTTTTTTTGTTTGTTTGTTTCAAACTGTTTGTTATTACCAACTTACAGTTGGGAATTCACTGTTCCATGAGCAAATTTTCACACTTTTTCTAGATTTAAAAAAAAAGGGAGGCAGTAATAGCCTTGAGAAGAATGTCTGGCTTTTCGGATGTTGGAGAGTTTAAACAAATTGCTTTATTCAAATTTGCTTTAGTCATTCAATTAACTTCACACATTTGGAAAGTTAGATTTCTTTAATTATCCAAGCCAATGTGAAACAGGAACTCATTTGTAATTTCTTAAGGTTTTTTTAGTAAACCAATTCTTCACACCAATTTCAATATGGGTTTTGAAAGTTTCTCATCTTCTCAACAGCGAAATTAGTTTCGGTTTTAAATGTACCCTTTTTAAAAACTTCAAAAAATGAAATCTTAAAGAGAAGGGAAACTTCAAATACGTGGCGGTTAAAACTTAGGATTCTTGTGCGGTTTACTTGTGGCTCTTTGTTAAGCCTCGAGCTAAAGCGAATTTGCAAGATCATCCACCTCTTTGTTAGAACTTGCTTTATTTTGTTTTTGGAGGGTGCTGCCTTTTCTGTAGGAACACCCTCCAGCACCTTCTGCCCCCTGCAGTCCAAAACTAAAAATGTGTCACCAAGTCGTCAGTCAATTAAAAAGGTGGGTTTTGGGTTTTTAAAAAAAATTTGTTAAAAATGCATTGAATGATTTATCACTATGAGGAATATCCTGTTTTTATTTCCTGTCAAGATTTTATTTCCTGTCAATCTGCCTCTAGCATATTTACAACCAAAATTATATACTACAGAGGGAAAAAGTATATAAAGCTAAAAATGCATACCTTTAAATTTTTTAATTTGTCATTTTAATTAATTTCCCTAATATAGAAAGATTGGTATTTTCAAGCATGGTGTGGTTTGTGATTCATTTGTGTATTTAAGATTCTAGATTGTCTTCAAAAAAGAGAATGTATTTCTTTAGTCATTTGGAGTTGCCTGTTCTTTGAAAGGCGAAGTTAGGAGCATTTGTTATTTAATTTTAAGTTCAAAATCATGTTTAAATGTCTGTAAAGGCCAGGTCTGAATTTTTATTGAACCCAGTCTATCTGTGATTTAAATGTTCTCCATGGCTTGTGAATTCTTAAAATTTCTGGCAGGATTAAAGTACATACAGCTAAAAGAGCTTCCTCTGGGGGTTGCATATTCAGTTTTCTTTGTCATGTAATAATTTAAGACTGAGCTCTGCTTATTGATATGTAGCATTCTAAGTTCAGATTTAACAGGCAGCTGAAATTTACGTGAAATTTTAAATTTATTCAGTATTGGGCATTTTTTCACGTTACTAAAGTAGTAGCAGTAGAAAAATATTTTTGTGCGATGAAACTGAAAACTTCAGTGGTTGTATTTAATAAAAAGTGACTAGGACTGTCCATTAAAAGTAGGCATCTAATTTTGAATAAATGTAGATAGTAATGAATAAGAAATGACCATGGAATTAGCAGAACATTTTAACATGTATTTTTCCTTTAGAATAGCAACTGGGTTAAGTACCATATGTACTTTCCTTCCTTATTTCAGTGGAAAAAAATATACAAATTCTCCCTTTTATTTTGAACTTCCACTGGAGGAAGGAGGAAGAACAACGCTTAAAATGTACGTTAGGATACTGGTTAGATTGCTTTTCCTGGTTAGCAGTGACCTTAAAGAGAAGGTTGTTAGACACATTCCGACTGCCACAGTACCCTTCCTGTTTCAAATGTGGCAAGTTATTCACTTTGGGTGCAGTGTGTCTCCTCTTCTGGATTAGACAAAAGACTTTTCTGAGCATCGTTCAAAAGGAATGTGAGAGTTCAATCTAGAGGAAAGTGGCTAAGAATAGACATCTGACAGTTGGTTGAGAATCTACCGTGTGGTGCTAGTGAAATTACTCTTGAGGACTTTGCTTGTGCCCTGGTAATTCAGGGCAGAAAACACCGGCCCTCCCTCCACATCACTCTCAGTAGTTGAGAAAACACAGTGACACTGAGTGATCAGAATAAATGAGCTTTGCGGTAGTTGCTCTCTTTATAAAAGTGATTGACAGCTGGCCTTTGTCCTTCCCTAGGTGTTGTTGCAGTGTCCGGCAGTGAGACTGAGGATGAGGACAGCATGGACATTCCCCTGGACCTTTCTTCCTCAGCTGGTTCAGCCAAGAGAAGGAGAAGGGGCAACCTGCCCAAGGAGTCCGTTCAGATCCTCCGGGATTGGCTGTATGAGCACCGGTACAATGCTTATCCCTCAGAGCAAGAAAAGGCTCTGCTGTCCCAGCAGACACACCTGTCTACACTACAGGTAAGGAAGGAGAGCACGAAGTTTATGGCCGCGTATTTATTTTCAAAGTCATTTTATAGCATTCCTGTGTGTCAAGTCATTAAACTCCTCTCCACTCAAAAAACAGAAGGAATATTCTTTCTATGGTAAACTTCATAGTGCTAAAAGCTAATAACTGGCTATTTAGAGAACACAGAAACACTTGACAGTCATCTGTCAAATAGCATTTCCTTTAATGACTAAAAGAACCTTCCTTTATGCAACAGACATTAAGAGGAGGTTAAACCTTACTCTATTGCCCAGGAAACTGGTTTGATATTTAAACAAGGACAGACTTCAGTGAGGTAATTCATGTTATGTCTGTTGACATAGTCATTTGAACTGAGAAAAATCAGTTACTGAGAGGAGTGGCCCTTTTCACACAGGAAAGGTTTTCCTGTAGTTGATTAACTTAAATGCTGGGGCAGTAGGTAATGGTTTAAAATGGGGCGAGTTAAAAGGTGAACTTCTCTCCCTCCCTAAAATCATTTTCAGGCGTTTGAGATTTTATACCTTTTTCTTCCTCCTGAAAAGGGTTAAGGATGAAGAGACAAAAAAGGAAATTTGTATTAAAAGAGGAGGAGGTTTATGACAGGACTCGCTCTCTTTCTTGGTGGGTTCAAATACCTTGAACTAACTGTGTAAGTCCAGATAAGCCTTTTTATGCCTGTAATACAAAGAGATCAGTGAGGCACCCCGTAGAACGTTCCCAGAAGTGTAGGCCGAGTGAACGAGGAAAGTGTTAAAGCATACCGATGTGATTTCAGGTCTGTAACTGGTTCATCAACGCCCGCCGCAGGCTCCTCCCTGACATGCTGAGAAAGGATGGCAAAGATCCAAATCAGTTCACAATTTCCCGCCGTGGGGCCAAGATTTCTGAAACCAGCTCCGTGGAGTCAGTAATGGGCATCAAAAACTTCATGCCGGCTCTAGAAGAGACCCCATTTCATTCCTGTATAGCTGGGCCAAACCCAACCCTAGGGAGGCCACTGTCTCCTAAGCCAGCGTCCCCAGGATCAATTTTGGCTCGTCCATCAGTGATCTGCCATACCACTGTGACTGCGTTGAAAGATGTCCCTTTCTCTCTCTGCCAGTCGGTTGGTGTGGGACAAAACACAGACATACAGCAGATAGCAGCCAGCAACTTGACAGACACCTCTCTCACGTACCCTGAGGACACATGTAAATCGGGACCAAGTACAAACACACAGAGTGGTCTTTTCAACACTCCTCCCCCTACTCCACCGGACCTCAACCAGGATTTTAGTGGATTTCAGCTTCTAGTGGATGTTGCACTCAAACGGGCTGCGGAGATGGAGCTTCAGGCAAAACTTACAGCTTAACCCTTTGTCGAGCAAAACAGTTCTCAGAAATGTCATGATTGCCGGGGTGATGGCAAGAGATGAATTGCATTATTTTATATATTTTTTTATTAATATTTGCACATGGGATTGCTAAAATGAAGCTTCCTGTTACTGAGATGTCTTCAATGGAATACAGTCATTCCAAGAACTGTAAACTCAGAGCTACTGTAGAAACAAAGGGTTTTCTTTTTTAAATGTTTCTTGGTAGATTATTCATAATGTGAGATGGTTCCCAGTATCATGTGATTTTTTTTTCCCTCCCCTTCCCCTTTTTTGTTGGTGTTTTTTTCAGACTGTGCAATACTTAGAGAACCTACAGCATCTTCTCATTCCCATGTGGAACAGGATGCCCACATACTGTCTAATTAATAAATTTTCCATTTTTTTTTCAAACAGGTTTGAATCTAGTTGATTGATGCCTTTTTTCATGACGTAATAAAGTATTTTCTTTAAAAGTTACTGTAATGCAGAGTATTTTGTTGAGGGAGGTACTTCTTAAAAATGAGTAGGAATGTCGTACCCCAATGGGCAGGAAGTTGGGGGTAGGGTGCAGAGTGAGTTAGGGGGTTGTCACCAGCTCTTTGAAGAACTGTGGACAACAAGCCAGTGTGTATAAACAGGATGTGTGATATTTACTCTTGATAGGAGGCATGGCAGGCCCTTAAAGCTCTACTTAAAAGACTGCAGGGCAAATTGAAATGAATCATTTCATCAGTGTTTCTTGGAAACCTTTCATCTTTTTTAGCTAGCCACTGAATACTTGGTGGTCTGTCCTGCATATTTTAAAACATGGCTGTGTTGGAAAAAAAAATGTTGAAGCCCCTGGTTATGGTTTATGTTTTCAGACATAAACAACAACCCAAGCAGTCTCTTAGCATTGCCCCTCTTCCACATTACCCTTTAAAATAAACTTGGTCAGTGGTACAATTAGGTAAGGCCTTTACATTCAAATATAGCATTACATTTAAAGAGAAATCACTTTTTAAAACATCTTAAAACTTACTCAAAAATGATGAAATAAACAGTAGTGGGATTGTTAAGTTATATTGTTTATGTTAGGTTAATATATTTATTCCAAAGTCACAGTATGTGAAAAAAATGGTGCCATGTCTAAGTGCAGTTTTTTGGGACAATTACTTATAAAGCCCAGATGGCCAGAAGGGAATTGGTGAAGCTCCTTCTGCTTATATGGTTGAGCAGATTTGTCACATGCCACAAAACCATTCTGTGTAGTCATGCTTAGTACGAGATTTCATTGTTTTTATGGTCATGTCCTTTCCAGCCCTGCCCCAGTTTTGAATTGTCTCACTTTGAGGGAGCATCGGAGCTTTAGTATTGCTTCAAGAATGTAGAAAAGTTCTTCCAAATCCAAGTTCGTCTAATTTGGAAACCCTATGTTAGAAAATCCCTACTGTACAAAGAGGTAAACTCAAAGAATTTTTTTGTACGTGAAAGAGAAAACCTGACGATGACAACCAAGGGTGCAAGATTAAGTGAGGGGAGATGGGGTGTGCTAGCCTGTGAGGCGCAGCTTGGAAGGGCACATCAGCAGAGAATGGTCTGGTCCCAGCTCTGAGGGTCACAGAAATAAATATAAACCAAAAAAGAAAAATACTAATAAAATAAATAAAAGGAACAAAATAAACATTAATGAAAGGCTGAGTGTGATCGCTCATGCCTATAATCCTAGCATTTTGGGAGGCCTAAGCAGGAGGATTGATTGAGGCCAGGAGTTCAAGACCAGCCTGGGCAACATAGCGAGACCTCTGTCTCTCCAAAAAATAGAAAAATTAACTGAGTGTGGTGGTACAGACCTGTAGTCCCTGCTCCTGGGGAGGCTGAGGAGGATTGCTTGAGCCCGGGAATTCTAGGCTGCACTGAGCTGTGATTGCACCACTGCATTCCAGCCTGGGTGACAGAGCAAGACCCTGTCTCAAAGAAAAAAAAAAGAAAATGAAATAAAGGTGATTGAGAATCATTGCTTGCTCCACTAGCTAGATCAAAGGCTGAGATTTTTGCTTTGGTACAAACAAGGGAAACCAGCAAATCCTGAAAACTTGCCCTGCTAAGGTGTTTCATCACTAACACTAGAAGGGGGAGAAAAGGAGCCATATGAGTCATTTAAAAGAAAAAAACTCAAGGGTCAATGAAACCCACAGGTTAAAAAAGAAGTCACCCTAAATTGCTTAGGCTTTGTTTAATCTTTCCCCTATTGAGTTGTTACAGGTCCTAGCTGATAATAGCTGATGTATAATAAATGTAAGCCATTATTTAAAAACAGGTAAATGTAATTGAAAAGGTAAGTGTAAAAAGCTATTCATATCAAAGCCAAATAGAAATGATTTTTATGCTTACAATTTACATGGTACAGTTTATCTCTTTTCATTTGTTCACTTTTAACCTACTGTGTTTTTGTGTTAAAGTTCATCTCATAGCATGTAGTTGGGTCTTGCTTTTTTATCTGGTCTAACAATCTCTGCCTTTCTCTTTGTTTGCCAATTTACATTTACTGTAGTTATTGATACATTTGGATTAAGTTTACCGTTTGGTTTTTTTCTTTCTCTATTCCTCTTTTCCTGCCTTCCTTCATGTTAGTTGAATATTTTGGGGGATTTTGTTTTATTTTATTTATTTATTTATTGAGACAGAGTCTTACTCTGTTGCCTGGGCCAGAGTGCTGTGGCGTCAGCCTAGCTCACATCCTCCTGCCTCAGCCTCCCAAGTAGCTGGGACTGCAGGCGTGCACCACCACGCCCAGCTAATTTTTTCTATTTTTAGTAGAGATGGGGTCTCTCTCTTTCTCAGGCTGATCTCGAACTCTTGACCCTGAGTGATTCTCCTGCCTCAGCCTCCCAGAGTGCTAGAATTACAGGTGTGAGCCGCCAAGCTGGCCTGTTTTGATTTTTCTATTGGTTTATAAATTATATCTTGTATGAGACCGGGCACGGTGGCTCACGCCTATAATCCTAGCACTCTGGGAGGCCGAGGCGGGCGGATTGTTTGAGCTCAGGAGTTAGAAACCAGCCTGAGCAAGAGCGAGACTCCATCTCTACTAAAAATAGAAAGAAATTAATCTAACAACTAAAAATATACAGAAAAAATTAGCCGGGCATCATGGCGCATGCCTGTAGTCCCAGCTACTTGGGAGGCTGAGGCAGGAGGATCGCTTGAGCCCAGGAGTTTGAGGTTGCTGTGAGCTAGGATGATGCCACGGCACTCTAGCTTGGGCAACACAGTGAGACTCTGTCTCAAAAAAATAAAAATAAAAAAAAATTTATATCTTGTATGTATTATTATTTTTAATGGTTCTAGGGATTACAGTATACATCTTTAACTTAATACAATCTATTTAGGGTTGATATTAGACAAGTTCATAGCAAATACAGGACCTTACAACAGTCTAGTTCCATGTACCTTCTCTCTTCCTTTATTTTTCACATAATACATGATAAACCCCATAGTACAGTGCTATAATTTTTGCTCACAACAGGCATGTGTCATTTAAATGATTAAGAGAAAACAGAATGTATATGTCTTTTTTTTTTTGAAGCAGGGTCTCACTCTTATGCAGGCTGCAGTGCAGCGGCGCGAGGTGCAGTCATAGCTCACTGTCGTCTCACACTCCTGGGCTCAGGTGATAGGGCCACAAGCACATGCCACCATGCCTGGCCGGTATGTGTCTTTTATATTTGCCAGATATTTACCATTTCTAGTGTTCTTCATTCTTTCCTGTAGATCTGAGTGACATCTGGTGTTACTTCTCTTCAGCTTGAAGGATTTCTTTGAGACTGTAGTCCAGGACTGCTGGTGACAAATCTTAGTTTTTGCTCATTGAAAATGACTTTATTTCACTTTCACCTTTTTTTTTTTTGAGACAGAGTCTCACTGTGTTGCCCAGGCTAGAGTGCCGTGGCGTCAGCCTAGCTCACAGCAACCTCAAACTCCTGGGCTCAAGCGATCCTACTGTCTCAGCCTCCTGAGTAGCTGGGACTACAGGCACGCGCCACCATGCCCGGCTAATTTTTTCTATATATTTTTAGTTGTTCAAATAATTTCTTTCTATTTTTTTTAGTAGAGACAGGGTCTCGCTCTTGCTCAGGCTGGTCTCGAACTGCTGAGCTCAAACAATCCACCCGCCTCGGCCTCCCAGAGTGCTAGGATTACAGGCATGAGCCACCGCGCCTGGCCTCACTTTCACCTTTGAAGGCTAGATTTTACTGATGGGGAATTCTGGGTTCATAGCTCTTTTTTCTTTTAGCACTTCAAAAGTCTTTTGGCCTCCATTGTTTCTGATGAGACATCAGCTGTCATTTGTATCATTCTCTTGTATATATTAATAATGTCTTTTTCTCTGGCTGTTTTAGTTTTGAATTTCAGCAGTTTTGATTATCATGTACCTAGGTATGATTTTCTTTGTATTTATCCTGCTGGAGGTTCATTGAGCTTCTTGGGTCTGTAAGTTGATGTTTTTTTTTTTATTTATTTATTTTTAACCAAATTTGGGGAAATTTTGGCCATTATTCTACTTACTTGTTTTTGAGACAAGGTCTCACTGTTGCCCAGGCCGGAGTGCAGTGGCATAATCATAACTCACTGCAGCCTTGAACTCCTGGGCTCAAGTGATCCTCCCACCTCAGCCTCCTGAGTAGCTGGGACTACAAGTGTGCACCACCACACTTGACTAATTTTTAGACAGATTTGACTATGTTGCCCAGCCAGTCTTGAGCTCCTGGCTTCAATGGATCCTCCTGCTTTGGCATCCCAAAATGCTGGGATTACAGGCGTGAGCCACCATGCCGTGTGCTGGCCATTATTTTTAACTTCAGTAAATTTATGTTAGATCACCTGACATTGTCTACATTATCTGAAGCTCTTCTTTCTTCAGTCTTGTTTCTCTCTACTTCAGAATGAATAATTTGTACAATTTATTTTCAATTCACTAACTCTTCTACTATCTTCAATCTGCTATTGAGCACATCCAGTGCATTTTCATTTCAGTTACTGTATTTTTCACACAGAGAATTTCCATTAGGTTCTTTTTTTATCATTCCTATTTCTCCGCTGAGATTCCTCATTGGTTTATTAATTATAAGTATATATTTTTATAAGTTATTAATAATAGCTGCCTTAAAATACTTGTCTGCTAGTGGTAACGTGTCATTATCAGAGTCAGTTTCTATTGATTGCATTTCACTTCATTGGGGGGGTCACTTTTTATTTTTTTGCTTGTGTAGTGTTTTTTTACTATGCAGTGGACATTATGGATGGTCTATCAATAAAGATTCTGGATTCTGCTACATTCCTCTGAAGAGTTCATTTTTGTCCTCAGGCAGTTCATTTGGCTCGACTAGAACTTCGAACTCTGTCTCTTCTGTAATGGATAGTAGCTGAAGTCCCTGATCAGTTTTCAGCTCTGGCTGCTGCTTTCATTGGGCTCACTGGGATCTCCCCTGCA